GCTGGGCCTGAGCCTCGGGCTGGGCCTGGGTTTGAGCCTAGGCATGGGTGAGGCCACCGGTGAGGCGGAGGAGGAGGCAGCCACGGCTGAGGCGGTGGGACGCCTGGCCACGACGCTGTGGTTGCGGCTCCGCGGCTGGGAGGCGGTGCTGGCGGCAGCGCAGCGGCTGCTGGTGTGGGAGAAGCCGCTTCACAGCTTGGTCACGGCAGCTGCGCTCAACGGCCTCTTCTGGTAACGGCCGCGGAGGAGGGGGCGGGGCCGGGCTGCGCGGGAGAGCGGGGGCGGGAGGGTCCCGAGTACCATTTGCCTTTCTGGGGCTCACGCTCGCTCTGGAGGACTGATCCATCTCCCGGTTTTTAAAGGCTGTTGTCCGCCTGGGTTGCCCCATTCCTGTCTTCAGGTGTCGAATGAGTTAGGCCTGGAGGTTCCCATTCCCCCATCAGTGGGCGCTTTTCCACCTTTTGCGATGGATGTAGGAGCCTCTGTCACCCACTCACCGCTGAGGTGCCTGTCTCTCCCTAAGGTTGCTGTCTTCGTCCAACCTACGGCCCTTCTTCCTACTCAGCATCTCACTTTTGGCTTATTTTTTGCTGGACCTCTGGCCGCCTCGCTTCCTCCCTGACATCTCAGGTCAGTGTTACTTCATTCATTTAGCAAGCCCCATTGTGCACTTGTTTTGCGCCTGACCCCCCTGACTGGGTTGAATGGTGAGGGAAATGTACAGCAGGCCACCTGCCTCCCAAGCACCACAATTTCCCCCTAGTTAGGAAATAGAGAATTTCCTTTTTCTCGGAATTAATGTTATTGTGAGTGGAGTAGTTAAGATTGTGGACTCTGCAGCCAGATTGCCTGGGTTCCACAGCCTGCTCTCCCATTTACCATGTACGTGACCTTGTAAAAGTCATTCGATCTCCTTGTCTGTTTCTTCATCTATGAAACAGAGACTATAGAACTTGCTTCATAAGAAGGTGGAGAATAAATGAGTTAATACACGTTACCTGCTTATGGTAGGGCTTCACAATGATAGGATTTGCAGGAATATTAGTTCATACTGTGTTTTACTTGTTATTCACACCTTTACCTAATAGATATTTTGGAGCAACTAGGTGCTGGGCTGTCATGGGTTGTTTGGAATATAAACATGAATAAGATGTGATGCCTGTTGTTGAGAAAGGTTAAGTGTAAAGAAGGGGACGTGTATAAATGACAGTAACAATGTAACATTTTCTGAAAATGGCATTTAAAGAAAGCACCCTGGGACTGCAGAGGAAGGGCACTTATTTCTGCCTTGGGGAGTGTTTTCTGGAGCTCTGCCACTTAATAACTTGTGTCCCTCCTCTCTCTACAGCATCATCCCCAGAGGAGCCACACTCTGACAGGTGAGTGCAGGCCACCCTTTGAAGACAAATGTCCAAACCCTGTCTTGTTCTGGGGCCAGTGTCACCACCACGGTCAGGGCAACACTGCAGCTTTTGCAGGCACAGACTCCAGCATAGTGAATGCACTGATAACAAGTTTGGTCCCAGGTCCTTGCATAGATGTTTGCATGCCTGCTCCTTTCGGGGCAGAGGGTTGGGAGCACTGGGCTTTGCTTCCTAGGACCAGGACAGCCTCCCTTTGGGAGGTGGGGTTGTCCCTTCCTTAGACTAAAGATCTCATTGGCTTTCTCAGAGGGATTTGAGTGCCTAGCAAGCTGGTGTCTGAGGCCTCCAGGGGTCATATCATGTCTCCCCAGTGAGGGTGCGGGGTCAGGCGCCCGGCCGCACCTGCTCAGTGTGCCCGAGTTGTGCAGATACCTGGCTGAGAGCTGGCTCACCTTCCAGATTCACCTGCAGGAGCTGCTGCAGTACAAGAGGCAGAATCCAGCTCAGGTAACCTCCCCCGTGTCACACAACAGTTCTCTACACTGTGGAGAAATAGAGGTGGGGGGAAGGGGAGGAGTAGTGTGAACTCCCTGGCTGGAGGCTGAAAATGAGGCCTGGTGCCTTCCTGAGGCAACGTTTACAGGTAGTAGCCTGGTACAGGAGATAGAATATGCTTCTGATGTTCTGACACTGTTTCTTGCCAAGGCAGACAAGTTTAAATTTTAGGTGTTTGGCAGTGTCTGTTGCAGACTTCCTGAATTGATGGTCTTGGGCATCCTGTTGATTAAACTGGAACACCACATTCCTGGAGGGCATACCCCTCCTTCCACCAATTGATCAGCAATATTTCTTACCCAGATGAGCAGGGTGCCTACCTCAGCCTACAGTTCCTCTTAGACCCTGTGCTCTTCTCTGCAGTTTTGTGCTCGCGTCTGCTCTGGCTGTGCTGTGTTGGCTGTGCTGGGACACTATGTTCCGGGGATTATGATTTCCTACATTGTCTGTGAGTAGGGTCTGACCTCTGCCCTTTCGAAAGTTCTCTCTTTGTCTTCTTTCCCTGGACTGACTCAAGAGGAGGATCATGCATTCTCTTGTTCAGTTAGCCATTTATAGAGATCTTCAGGGGCTGCTGTAGTATTAGTAACAGTGGAAGAGTCATCTAGGGAGGAAGGCAGTGGATGTGGGAAGAGGCTGGCACAGTCTCAGGAAAGGACTTAGTCTTCCTTCAGGCTTTTCTATGTAGGCATCAGTTGAATGAGGGTCCTTGGGAAATAGGCATAGGGAGCTCTGAGTGGATTTTCTAACCCCTAGTGCTGAGTATCCTGCTATGGCCCCTGGTGGTTTATCATGAGCTGATCCAAAGGATGTACACTCGCTTGGAGCCCCTGCTCATGCAGCTGGACTACAGCATGAAGGCAGAAGCTGATGCCCTGCATCACAAACACGACAAGAGGAGTAAGGGGATCCCATGACCCAGGAGAGGGCAGGGGTGGAGAGTGGGGGAGGACCTTGGCTTGTGGCTTGTGAAATTCCCTGGAATTTAGATGCTCTCCAGAGCCTTGGCCATGTTGTCCCCACCACTGTCCCTGCTTGGTCACTGCCCTGCTCTTCTTGCTTCTCTAGAGCGGCAGGGGAAGAATGCACCCCCTGGAGGTGATGAGCCACTGGCGGAGACAGAGAGTGAGAGTGAAGCAGAACTGGCTGGCTTCTCCCCTGTGGTGAGGTCCAAGGGAGATGGGGGATCAAGTAGAAGGCTGGGGGAGAATCGCCCTGCTTTAGAGCAGCCACCTCTTAAGGGAGTGGGAGTCATTGGTGGGGGCAGAGATGCTCCTGGAAAATGGGCTCTCTTATCCCCTCACCTGTTGTGTTCATCCTGGTTTTCCTGCAGGTGGATGTGAAGAAAACAGCCCTGGCTTTGGCCATTACAGACTCAGAGCTGTCAGATGAAGAGGCTTCTATCTTGGAAAGTGGTGGCTTCTCTGTATCCCGGGCAACAACTCCACAACTAACTGATGTATCAGAGGGTATGGGCAACCCTTGGTCCCTCCCAGTCTTCCTGTTCCCTGTTGTGGGATGCTGGCTGTGCTGTCTGGTGGTTGCCCCCATAAATGTTTTCTCTGGGGACCTGACCCTCTAACTCTGCTCCAAGCTCTTGAAAGGTCTGGTCCAGCATTCCATGTCCTGACTTCTCCTTGAACTGATTGGCCTGCTGCAGCTACTCAGAACTGCAGGCCCATTCCTGGCTCTTTGTTTTCTGCACAGATTTGGACCAGCAGAGCC